GATTGTCTTACCTGACTAGGCACACTGCGAATGGGACAAGACGTTCAGCAGCAGCAGCAGCAGCAGATTAACCTGTTGGATGTGCATCGTACACTAGGTGATGCCAAGCAGGTTTAACTCTCAGAGGGGAGAAAACCTGAGCATCGTGTGCTACCAGTTCGTCAGGTTTAGGAACAATACCAAGCAAAACATAGCCAGGGTTGGGAGGGTGTTAGAATGCCCGAGCGGCCATGGAGGCTTAATAGGAGAAGTAGGCAGGTTGGTGTTTTTCCACAGAAAACTGTTTTATTTTTCAATCCACTGTGACCACATGGCTGCCCTCCATCACCCACACAGTATACAACCCTGTTCTTAACAACACTGACTGTCTTTTATAGAAGGCCTCAGATCTTCATTGGCTGGCACATACCATTATCATTATCTAAGCAAACGATTTACCACAACTATATACACACATTTACTAAATATTTCCACACCAATTTACCAAAAATATACACATGAATAAAGCTATGACAATGTACATTAAATAAATATATCTATGTACAAAGATGTCGAACTTCCCCCCGGAGACTCCCGGAACTAGAGGTGTGCGGGCCCGGGGGAACTCTTTTGCCCGAACACCCTGGGAGAGAGAACAGACAGATTTCATCGACATAACTACACTGTAGCTTTGTTCGTATGACAAAATAAAGAACCTTGAACCTACTCTTCTGGAACGGGTTTGCTCCAGGTTCCGAGAGTAAGAACAAAACATGGAAAAGCAGCGTTTACCTTTATGCCCCCACAATCTGGAACAAACTGCCTGAACCGTGCACGTCCGCAGAAACTCTTACGATTTTCAAATCGAGACTGAAAACATATATGTTTGCCTCTGCTTTTAATTGAACTGCTCATATTCACACTGCAGTTTGCTTTTTATTCATTTGTTGTATCACTGTTGTGTTTATCTTATTATATTTGCCTTTTAAATGCCTGTTGTAAAATGCCATTATATAATGTGTTTTTACTGTATTTATTCTTAAATGTCTTTTATTTTATTTTGTAAAGCACTTTGAATTGTCGTGTACTGAAAGGTGCTATATAAATAAACTTGCCTTGCTGGATACTCTTGATTGACCTAATCCACCTTCTGTTGTAATTTAATTGGATAGAGTCCAAAGACTAACTATCTTTCCATCCATCTATAATACATTTTTCTTTGACAAATAAAATACTCAAAACAGAGGTCTTAAAACACGGCTAAAGGAGAAACAGCACCTTTCTCAAAACGTAACCCCGGTAGACACCTGAATCTGTGCAGCCATTGAAGATATATTCGAGTCTAAGCATTTGCAGATTTGTTGTGTATGTATCCGTGTTGATGCATTTTGTCTAAAGCCTCCTGTTGACAGATGTATTAATAAATGTATGTGACGTTTCCAAAGCTGCTGTCATGTCAATATTCAACAAACCTTACTAAACTAAATCCACACTTCAAATACAATGCATGTCATTAAACATTTATTATGATTTAAATGGAATGCTTACAATAAAAGAGATGTTGATTTCAATGAGAGAAATTCAAATGAATAAGAAGAGTTGTTGCATCTACAGCCAGGGGGAATTATGACTTCTGTTGTGGTTTAAATATGCAGCTACAGTTTTAATTTGACATGTAAAAATATCAAAAACAAACACAAGTTATAAAGGGAACTTCATGGTGATATACTGTGGAGAGGGGTCTCGGTGAAAAGCAGATGTCTTATGCTGTAACGCTGGGAGCGAACTGCATCACTAGTCTGTCAAACTCGTTCTCCTGCAGGGAAACAAAGACAGAAAAACAATTCAACACCAGAGGAAACCTCAGAGCAGCTGTGCATCACAGGATTTGTTTTGAAATGCTGTGTAATCTGTCCATCTAGAATACTGCACCGCTGTTTTTACAACTCACTGTGACAAAGGCTAAAACTCAGAGTTGAATGCTCTCATTGCTCCAAGGACACTTCCTGCCCAACACTCAAAGGTAATTAAATAATGAGAGAGTAAAGGTTATGACTTATCAACAAGTGTGTGTCGATCTGGTGAACCTAAATAGCCCTGCCCTCAGGTCAGAGTCCTCCCTCACAATGAAAAACAATTAACAACAATTAAAGATGCAATCAAGTTACCTTGGCTAAGTAGTCTTTCAGGAATGGATGGGCTCTGTGGGCATCCTTCAGCTGAGAGAGGTACCGGTTAGTTACCTGAGTGGAGAGGGGAACAGATGAGGCAAGAGTCAGAATGGGACTATAGTAGGAAGAGCTTAGTGTCAACACAGTGTCCTAAAAACATGTTTTTCAGATCTGTAAAGGCAAGGGCAGGAAAGGGAAACGTCAGAGTGTTTGTACAGCCCATTTAAATTGAGGCCGATTCAAAGTGCTCGACTAAAACAAAAAGCATTAAGATAAGGTGCAAAAAAAACACATAAAAACGGTCAAAACACAATTTTCTGGCAAATTTAAGGCAACTTTGTTACCTCTGCTAACGAGGGCATGTTTCGGCTGAGTTCATATTTTTTCAGCAGGACTACAAAAAAAACTCATGGCCCAATTTTCCTAACACTTGGTTGAATGGTGTGGCATTGGCCAAGGTATATACCGTTACATTTTTAGGCTGATACGGCAGTGGCTCAGTCAGTAGGGGCTTGGACTGTTAGCCGTAGGGTCGCCGGTTCAAGTCCCCGACCAGACCTAAAATATGGAGTGTGGACTGCTACTTGGAGAGGTCCCAGTTCACCTCCTGCCCTGCCTTGGTGCCCTTGAGCAAGGCACCGGACACCCCCCTTCCCCCCTCACTCCCATTGCTCCCCGGGCGCTGTGCAATAGCTGCCCACTGCTCCTAGAACTAGACTCCTGGTACTAGGATGGGTTAAACGCAGAGAACACTGTGTGCTCTGCATGTGTGACCATTCAAGAGGGTTTCATCCCTCCATATTCTATTCTAAATTGACACGTGTGGTGTTAAAATAATTTGAAAAATTAGTTTCTTAGTGTGAATATTTACATGCACATACCCTTAAGTCGGAATAACTCTGAAATGCTGTTGTTGTTGTTGTGGAAATGCACGGAGCAATACAATACAATACATGTTCTCTGTAGCATCCATGTTGTTTCCACATTACGACGTAAAGCTCATAGCTCCCCAACGTCAGAAGAATACATTCCCAATGAGACAAATCTTAGGAGCATGTGGATGCAACATTGTCCTAGGCAGATGTTTGGGTTTTCTCATTCTTAATGGTTTATAACAGGTGAGCTCCGGTTATATTCAAAATCTGAAGCCCTTTGTGGGTTTGTTTATGTGTGTCGTCAGGCCACAGTTTTAGCTATTAATATTTAATGTTATTGAGGGGGGAAAAAAGAAGGAGATCAGGGGGTACTTAAATAATGAAATACTGTTGATATTTGTACAGTATAAATGGCTTTCCTCTAGACCCAGTTTGAGTAATGAGGATAGCGTGAGGGAACCGAAAACAAAACATTCAGAGAGAAAGGAGCAGTTGATTAAAACCACTAACCATATTTGAACATCTATTATTTAATATCTAACATCACTTTGATTATATTTGGAAAGGAAAGGCCATTTAAAAAGGTGTTTCTCTATTACTGTACTAGGGCTGCACGATTTAGGGAAATAATCTAATTGTGATTTTTCTGACAGATATTGGGATTCGATTTGCGATATTTGTTTTTAAGCGACCCAACGGAAGTCTATTGTAAAATGCGGCCATATCTCCGGCTAGGAAGGTCGTATCAACGTGCTCCCGTCTCTAGCACCCCCGCAGCCCGAGCTACGAGTGAAAGAACTAAACTTACATGAAACTTCCGTTGGGTTGCTTTAAAGTCAAGCTTCAGTTTAAGATTCACCCTGTAATAGAAACATGTGATGGAGCATTACTAACCTGACTCAGATGGTTTGTTTCACCAAACCATCTAGGAGAGCTCCATTGGAAGCCATTTGGAAAGGAAGGCACTTTAAAAAATACTTGGCAGGTGATTGGATCAATCTGTCTATCACCTTCTATCATGGGCCACTTCTGATTGGTTAACAATGGCTGGTACACGTGGAGCACAGCACTTCTGATTGGTTAACAATGACAGGTACATGTGGAGCACAGCACTTCTGATTGGTGGGGATGACTGACACACAAGAAGAACACTTCTTTTTTTTTTTTTAATCGTTCAGCCCTCTACTGTACCTGAGGATTTGGCACTTCTTTGTCTTCAGAGAAACAGCCTTGAGTGAGTAACCTTGAGTGAGATGTGCTAATCAGCGGTTATCAACGTTGGAACCCTTTTATTTGTGGCTTTGAGGCAGTGGTCAGCTTTATTGCATTACTATCAAGTCCATCAAACGTAGGACAGATAATCTGAGGCTTTATCTTATGAACTCTGAGTTCCAGGGCGTCAACGCACACAGCACTAAACCTGAGGAAACGCTTTAGTGACACTTTTTCGTGATAGGGAGACAATCAAGAAAAGGCTTTGGTTGAATGCTTTCTGCGCGCTTCAATCAGAGAAAACACACAAAAAATGCTGAGAGAAGCATACTGCACTCTGAGCCAAGTGGAGATATGTCATGTCCTCTGTGAACCAGTGTGTGAAGAAGTACTCAGATCTTTACTAAAGTAGAAGTTACATTGAATTGACATAAAAGCAAACCTTGAGTATCAAGAGTAAAAGTACTGATTGTGTTTTATGGTCTTCTTCAGGAGTCATTTAAATTACATAACTGCTTCAAGATTACTGATGCATTAATGTGTTCATCACAGCTAGTTTTAATGACTGCTGCCCGATCTTAACCTTTAATTACATGCAGTGGAGTAACTAAGTACATTTACTCAAGTACTGCACTTAAGGACAATTTTGAGGTACTTATTATTCTTTTTTGCAACCTATTAATTCCACCCCACTACAATTCAGAGGTTAATAGTTTACTTTTACTCCATTACATTTATTTAGTACCTTTAGTTACTTTACAGATTTGGATAAATGATATAAATAACACTTAAATAAGATTTTGGTTTCACCTGGAATCAAATACACAAGCTACTAAGCTCCACCTTTACCAGCTGAGATAAATGCATCGATAATTAAAATCAAAACAGATTATATATAATAATAAAAAATGGGAAATCTGCATAACAAGTACTTTTACTTTTGGTACTTTTGATGCTAATACTTTTGAGTATACCTACACGGTGGTATTTCTACTTTTACTTAAGAACAAGATATGATTCCTTCTTCCAGCTCTGGTCATAATGTATGCTCATGAGTTAATGTAAATGCTGCATTAGCTAATCATCTGAATCTGTAACATACTTTAAAGCTGTGTGATAAATGTAATGAATTCAAACATACAATATCAGCTTCCAAAATGTAGTGGAGTAGAAGTACAAAGCAGTATAAAACTGAAATACTCATGACAATAATAAGTATTTCAAACGTATACTTAAAAGGCAGTACTTGAGCAAATGTACTTAGCTACTTCCAACTAACTGTCTGTCTGTTAGCCTGAAGGAAAAATACTAAACTGACGGCAGTTGCAGCGTCGCCGTGGTTAAAAGCTTTCGGTCCAAAGTCTCACCTCGGGAGCTTTGCCCAGGTGCTGAGTCAGCACGATGAGGTTGATCAACGTCTCAGGGTGACTGCTGTCCTAAAGAGGAAGAGAGAAACACAAAGTGAGAGTCAGACCTCCCGTAGCACTCAGGACGACGGGAGGAAGAGTGGAGACAAGACGGGGAACGAGAGATATACCGTGTATAGCAAATCCGGCCCTTGGTGGATTTAATTTCGGCCCGCAGGATAATTTCTAATTCCTATTAGATCTGGCCCTCCGGTATATTGCACGCACACCTTCACTCCATCCTGAGGGTCTCCTCAGCTCAGAGCCTGAGCCCAAACATTGATGGCAAATCAAGCCCTTGGTGGATTTAATTTCGGCCCGCAGGATAATTTCTAATAACTATTAGATCTGGCCCGCCGGTATATTGTTAATAAG